TTATACCCAGAGCTAAAATTCAATCTTGGCACTCATGAGTGCTTTCGTTCTGTAAGGATGTTTCACAAGCAGGTGACAGAGGGCAACTGTCTTCCAGAAACTGTAAATTTCAAGCATGGGCAGAAATGAGGTTGTGAATAAATTGCCCTTTACCCTGCAACATAATTTCTCTTTTATGGAAGGGTAACATTTATAAGAGGCTTTCATCTATTTCATCTTCAAGCTTCACAGAGGCCCAATACTTTTTATACCCACAAACAAAGGTATCTGTGGAGCTGTATGTTATGTTGTGTTAAAAAGACAATGGATAATAAGCTAACTTTATGTGCATCCTTATGAATGTGCAGAATGCATGATTTTTATCATTACATTTTGTGAGCACAGCAGGATTTTGTTAACAATTTTACCCCACCCAGTTGCCATAACAGAGAGTTTCGAAGTGTTCTCAGGCTTCCAGGAAGAGAACAGAGATTGCTTCTTACTCACTGAACTTAACTCAATAGTATAAAATGGAACAGAAGTCTAGAACTTTCTTAACTACAACCAGGCATCTTGACATTAATATGTTTATGTGGTTGCCACCTCGTGGCCAAAGGGCAAAAGTGTTCTCTTGAGAAACTTGGAACTGAGGATGCTCCAGACCTGTATTCCTGAGAGTGGTTCCAAGATGGATGCCAGGTGGAAAACTGCAAAACACAAACAAGTTATTGTACATCTTGCTGATGTAGCTTCATCTATTATAATCCAGTCTCACCATTCTGTAGCATGTGCTACACCAGTGAGCATATGTCATGGGTGGAAACAATCTATTATTTTCTTGTCAGCATGCCAATAGCCTGATGTCTGAACGTTGACAATGTGTTCTTTACGTCACGGAAACACTTGACTTTTGGTAATGTATCAAATAAATATTTTACACCGTTATGTGATTTGTATACAGTGGACACTGTAATAACAGAATGCATTCATTTTTTAAAATTAATATGCCGACTTTTTATCCAAAGCCTTTCATCATCAAAATACATCATGGTGATTGCATTGCTAGAAATGTACTAATGAGAACTAGTGGAACTCAAGGATGGTGGAGGGGAGCTAATGTGTTCTCTGGGATAGGAAGGGGATCTCTGTAGGGACTGGCTTATAAAGAAAGAATGAAGTCTTAGACAGCAATCCACTTACCTGGGCGCAAACCCCACTGAATTCAATAGGACTTACTTCTGAGTGGAAATGGTCAGATTTGAAACCTTAGATGGCATGGCTTGTCTTTGAAGATATACCCCTGTCAGGCTTCGGGGAATCAAATCCCTCCCCTGGTGACAGTAAATAAGCAGATCAAAAGAAAGGAGCATTCTTACCAGTTAGTTTCTTTAAGAATCACAGAGAGAGACAAAGGAATGCATATCTCTCTAGAAATGGCGTTGCTCCGAGTTAAGGTTCACCCCCTCCATCCCCATTAATCTATGTCACTCCTATGTCTGGTAATCTGAGCTTGTTGCCGCTGTGCTTTCTGTTCAAAGCCCATCTAGTTTTATGCAAGGGGGGGGGCAGGAATGCTTTCCAAGGAGACTGTATCTGCCAGCCATCTCTCTCCTGGTGTTTCCTCTTCTAGCTGTTCCTCACCCAGTATTTCCCAGCTTTTCCCCGCTAGACCATGCCCGTCCAACTCCCAAGAGACTGCAATCTACTCCCAGTGTACAAAAACTGGCAGTGATCTACCCATTGTCATTGAGGATTGACCAGAATTTTTGAGCTTTTGGGGGGAGAACACAGTTGTTGTGATTTTATTAAGGGAGAATGACATGCTTTGCTCATCTCACACTCTGCAAATAACAAACGCACAAAGCGCTAAAGTCAACCAACGTATTCCACATCACAATGAGACAACAACAAACTCTGCCCACTAGACGCGATGGAGGGAAAGATCAAGGGGGGCAGGGGTGGAAAGATTCATTCTGAAATTATTCTAAGCCTGCGATCAATAAGGCTCCAGCAATCAACCAGGATCATCCGGGGATCTACCTGTCGACTATGGTCGTCTGGTTGAACATGCCTGCTCTAGACTATGCCACTTTGCAAACCACTGTTCTAAATCAATACTGTCCTCCTGCCCTTGGGAAGGTTCAGAAAGAGGGGGGGGCTCCCACCATTCATCCTCAGTCCAGTCCCTGACAATCCCCCTCGAGCCCACCCATCCCTGATTTAAAATTGTCCCAACCCAATTAAAAGATGACATCCCAGAAAAGCATGACAGCCAACTTGGAAGGCTCTTCAGGATCTGCTTTGTCTGTGTGACACAGCACTGACTCTTTCTGCTCCTCTTAGCTGAAAGTAATTTGAAACAGGTGCTAGATTAATATTTATAATTCCTTTCTGCAGCTTTGATCTGTTTCTATAAAATGCCAAACTGGAGAAAAGGAATCTTACTGTGAGCTGATTCTCAAGTGTACTTCTTTGCTTCCTGTTTCATGCATAATTTCCTCTTTTGTATGGAGCTAGGTGTAATTTATTGTTGTTTCTTATGTACGTATTTGGGAAATAAGGTTTAACAAAGAAATAAAAAGCATTAAGTGAATTGTGTGTATTAACAAACATTACAATAATCCAAAGGAACTTGCAGCCTCAATGTCAGTAGCAACACCAAAAATTTAACTGTGTTCCTTTCAAAACTATTTGAACAAATTCTAATTTGCAAATAAAAAATCTGTAGAAAGCCCCTCTCTCAATTTAATGTAACTCATTGTTTTCTCAATAACTGTGATATCCCACATTTTATTTAATAATGAGCATTCTGAAGAGATATTAAATATATTCTAGCAGTGACCAATAAGGATGGGCACCCCTGCCAATTTTGCTTTCTCTGTTTCTTATTTTTCTCAGTCTTAAATTCAACTAACTACATTTCCACATCAGCTCATGGATTTTTAAAAAAGAGTCCTCATGAAAAATTTCCCTAATAAGCATATTTTGGTATACTTTTGAAACAACACTATCCCAAGGAGTAGCGGCATTAAGTCTGTTGCAACAAAAAGAGTCTTGTGGCACCTTAAACAAATTTACTACAGCATATACATATGCAAAAACTTATTTAACAAATTTAAAGTGCCGCAAAACTCCTTTGCCTTCATGAAACATCATGCATTTTCTATGGCCGCTTAATATATGTTGCTGTAGTGAGTGCAGAATTCATTCTAGTCTCTTCAACCAGCCTCTGGATCTCTTGTTTGCAGAAAGGATCCTGTGTTGAAAAAGGCATTATTGCATAGAACCAAATGTATGGTTTTAAATTGCTATGCGGATGGGGAATGCCAGAATTGAGGGAGCTGCCTTCTGTGCACATGCTGTGTGATCCCTAAGGGGCCTTCATGATATCACGGTTTGTCTTACCTGCTTGCGGTGGAAATGAAAAAGCCCCTTTCATTTTTTGTGTGAGTTCTATGCAGTGTGACAGCCACCAGATTATATTCTGATAGGATAGGTGCTAAAATGGCTAGACCAGGCAAAACAATACGGGATTTCTCATAGCCAAGGTACCCTTTTGATAGTCTGATCCTGACCTGTTAGAAATGTGTTAATTAGCTGAAGACACCTGCCAGTTTGCTAACTATGCTATTGAGTTATTCATGAATACATTCTAGTTTAATACCTCTGTACTTGTGCAAATTTACTATTCTTTCAGACAAATATTTTCTCTTCCAATAAATCTTGCACAGCTCTGTCTTAGATTTGTCTGGGCACTCTGAGTTCTGTTTCACTGCAACAACAGTCGCTGTTTCATAGCTAAGAGAAGGTGAATGGAGCCACACGGAGGCAAAAAATAAATAAAAATACACCTGTGGTTATTCTGAAGAAATCAGGACTCTTAAAAATGTCCCATAATCTTTCAGATTGTAACAACAACAATTTGAGAAGCTATGCAGTCATTTTATTTGGTTAGTTATAATTTGATTCATTTCAAATATTTATAGGCTGCTCTTCAGCAATGCTCTCAGAGTAGCTTAAAATAAATTAAAATCACAATTTCAGCCAGCATAAAATCTCAGATACTCTAAAGGCCTCAGTGAACGAAAAGGATCTTGCTTTCTTCAGCATAAGCTGGTCTCCTGCCCCTAGCAACACCCAGTGTTGGTTAGATGGTTTATTTCCCCCTCACCCCAATCTTATCCCTCGAAGCAGCTCTGTAATGTTGACTGGTCTCAGAAACAGCGATTGATCCAGGGCTGCTCTGAGTTCTTAAAGCTAAAAAGGGACTTGAACCCAGCTCTCCCCAAGTTTCTAGCCATTTGGTTGCCTCCCCCCACTAGCCCAAAATCAACTAGTTATGCATTTGCCTGCTTGGGCATATTTTAGGACCCTCCTTATTTCTGTGGCAGAAAGTTGTTTTAATTGTTGTAACCTGCCCTGGGACCTTCGGGTAAAGGGCAAGGTAAGAACAGTAACAACAATTAGGTGGGGAGCTTTATCTTCCAAGTAATCTGAATTAGGCTCTCCTAGTTTAACTTTTAATTTCCTATGTATTCTTGGCTGTCAGTGATGATATTGCGCAGCTTTGCTATGTAACCCTAACCATGTTTACTCAGAAGTAACTCCTATTAAATTCAATGGGACGTAAGGTAAGTGGCATTAGAATTGCAACCCTAGTGTATTACGCCAGCTGTCATTATCTCTTCTGAACTGGTGTGCTTAGCCTTGGGACTGAATTGTTCTTTTAGGTATGTGACTCTAATAAATGCATTTTAATTGCATGTCAACAACTGTGTGGGTGTTTTGAAAAACGTGATTTACATGCACATGTCTGAAAATGCAAATGCACACAGAGGGACTGCAATGGACTGTGCTTCTCAGAAATGGTTTTCCGGTGTGAATATAGCTTCAACATTCCAGAAAGACAATGAGTCTTTGGTTGCCATCGTCTCCCCACTTACCTGCCCCGATGAATTCGCTAAGACTTACTTCTGAGTAGATATGGTTAGGATTGTGCTCCTTGAATTCTAACAAATGCAACATAGGTGACAATTATTCACACAATTAATATCCTTGTTCAAAAACAATTTTTCACCATTTATCAGATTTGTGAGAATAAGACACAAATCTGATAAATGGTGAAAAATTGTTTTTGAACAAGAATATTAATTGTGTGAATAATTGTCGCCTATGTGCTGTACGGGTTGTACAATCATTATTAACGGCACAGGTTGTATTTCTTCAGCAACAAATGCATCATGGCATAAGCTTTCTGTACACTAGAATCCATTTTATCAGTTGTATGGAGTGCTAGTCTCAGGTGGCAAATGTCTATATATGCACGAGCTATAAAGGAAAAAATGTAAACAGAGAGATCAGAGGAAATGAAATGCAAAACAGCCTGTGGCAATAACGCAAAACTATAAATGTATTTAAAATATCGATACAAAACATCAGTAACTGGTAATAGTACAAAGCACCATCCTAGCATTGCTAAAATGACACTTGTAGTGGGACAGGAAATCATTATCATGATTCAAGTCACAGGTGAGAGATTTGAACTTTTTGATAAACTGTAATTCAGCAATTTCATGCTGGGGTCTTCCTTTGAAGTTCTTTTTAAGAATTGCGAATTTAAAGGAAAGTCATTGCATGCCCTGGAAGGTTGAAATATTGTGTGTATTTTCTATGTAGAACACAGAAGGGCATTGCTGTCAGATGATAGTATATATTACATCGAAAGATGAGCAGGTAAATGTTACAGCTGATGTTTTTAGGCTCTGAATAGTGTTGTCAGAGTAATGGGGGGGGGATTAATGTCTAGGATGTTTACAAGGTCTGCTCCCTGGATTCTGTTAGGTGGCCTGGTGTGGCTGCCTTAGACCACAGGTAGCAATGTGATCCTTCCAGATGTTACTGGACTGCAACTTTTATCGTATCCAAACATCAAGGATGATAGACCAACAACATCTCGATGGCACCGCATTGGCTACCATTGTTTTAGATTATGGGGCTGCCCCAATAGGCCTTAATAAATTATAAAAATATAAATCTGAGTTTTTGTATCTTTAAGATGCCAAAAGGCTAGGAATGGGCGAATGTAGCAATTTTGGTTTCTCTCAGTTCCTCATTTTTCCATTCCTCAGTTCTTCACACCAGTTCATGACTTTTCCTTTAAAGATCCTCATAGAAATTCACCAGAATTTCAATGTGAATGTCTCCTAAAATGCACATCTTTCACAAAGCATATTTTCCCCAATATATTGATTTTTTAAAATGGATGCTTTATCCCAGCAAATGCATTTTAATACATACTACTTGGCTGGAAAACTGCACTGCAAAATTCGGAGGAAGGCAAATTTTTAAGGACCACTATTTTTTCGGTTCTCAGATTGTTTTGGAAAGTTCAAAAATAGGGAGATTCAACTTTCAGTCTGAACCAAATCAAATTTCTCCCCCCTCCCTACACAATACTTTTGTTTGTTTGCTGAAACAAGGTAGCATGGCTACTCCTCTGGAGACCATTGTAAGAGACATGGTCTGTGGTAGAAATCAGAAACCTGTGAAGTAACCCACCGTAGTCAGCAAGGGGCAACCAACACTGTGGACAAGTCAGAATAGCAAATGTTTTATTGCAGGTATACCGCTATTGTTTATTGTCTTTAAACTTCTTCAGAGGAAAAGAACCTGTTGTGCTATAAACAGGGCAATGACTGCTGGCATGAGATCTCCGAGGACTATACAGCAGACTAATCAACAGCTTGCCTGTGTTTTTCAAGTCTGGATGGGTCTTATTCTAAGACTGCCTGAAGGTCTCCACAGCCTTCATTACAGTAATGGCCTGTTCTTTTTAAAAATCCAGCCAGGGGTGACTGCTGGCAGATATCTCAGGATCCTATTTGTGCAGCAACTACTATAAAGCCGCTGCCATTTTATAATGATGCTCCAAAAGGGCCACAAGGATGCTGGATCATGTTTACTACAGGTTGCTTCCATCTGAAGCAGATATTGACAGAACTGGAAACAAAATCTGGGAGTGGGGAAGGACAGGAAGCTATTCAGCAGAGCTGCTCATATCACCCAGAGCAGCATGAAGTTACAACGGCATGGAAAGCAATGGTGTATCTGTGTCCATGCTACCCACAAAATAGTGGAGGGTGTGGTTAGGTCAGCATCTGGCGTGGGCTGTGTGGTTTGCGTATAGTTTTGGTTCTCATATTGTTTCGTAAAGTGTGGAGTCGATAGATTTGGCTTTAAATGTGAACTGTGGTGGATCTCTTCTCCATCCCTAGTCCCCGGAGATGTTAAGTAGAACTGTGTGAGAGTGGCATTATTTAGGAAAGTGACTGTGGGGTTAACAAGACTAGTCTTCTTTGTTACAGAAGCGTGTAAGTCAGGAGTGGGCAAAGTGAGCGTGGAATCTACTGATACATTTACAGTAGGTCAGCAGATCAGCAAATGTTTCTGATCACCAAACAACAGCAACAAACAAATAAGTCAGGATGCTGAAATGGAGAAAGTTGGGGCTAACCCAGAGTAGATTTGCTGTGAAAGGAGTATGAGCCCATTTCAGGAACTGGAAACAGAAAGCTATGCTCAGAATGTGCTCAGAGGCCTCCCCATTCTGTCAGTCTGACTCTATGTGTCAGGGAACTGACATCGGAGCTAGAGGCGGAGGGAAGGCTCTCAAATGATGCTGGAGAAGGGCCCAGCAGGGAGAGAGGCAGCTCAGCAGATGGGGAAGCAATTCAGCGCAACACCAGGAATAAAGAGGAGCAGATGGGGGAATCGGCGAGAGGGCTCCCAGACTCTTCACCGGACACCAGCAGGGAGAGCACGGGTCCTCCGCTACCCACGCCCTCCCTGCGCAGAAGACTTCCGCGCAGAGAGAGTAGGAGGAGACTGGGTGTCAAACAACTTTTATGTTGGAAAAGGTTTAAGAAACGCCCACTGACGGATTCTGCTAGCGACTGAGGCAGCCACGAAGTGAAGGGCTGTCCAGACTGAAAGGTCTAACAAGGCAACAAAGCCAGGAGAGGCGGCAACTTACGCACAAGCAACTCATACTCTTTACACTATGGTTTTGGTTTTTCCACCTGGCTCTGCTTGGGAGATTGTAGTAAAAGACAGAGTAGATCCAACAAGCCTGAACTCTGCCCATGAACTGCACCACAAGTACCACAAACAATTTACTTTGTCAAGCAACACATAGGTGCCACATCAAAATCACTACAGTGATTCTAGAAACCAGACTTTGGCTTTTTAACTTCCTTATGTACTCTGTACCAGGGCCTGAGGCAGACCCTGAAATAGCTTCCTTTCCTCCTTGCCAGGGAAGAAGAGGTCAGGGAAGAACTACAACAGAAACAAAGGTGGGGGGGGGGAGAAATATTGACATTGGGATCTGCTGTCCCAGGTGGACCCTGCTGCCTGAGGCAGCTGCCTCACCTTACTTCACGGGTGGGGCACTCCTGCTCTGTATGGACACAACAAGTTGGAGTTAAGTGTTTGGCAAATGTTGACAAAGAGCTCCTCTCATTGTTCAGTTGCCATAAATCACCCAAGTCAGCACTAAACCATCACATCTAGCCCAAGTCCTTCTCTATCTCCTTTCCTGGTTTTGATCGGCTCCAAACTTTGCAAGGGTTTGAAATATGTACTCAACCTGAATCCTAATTTTCAGAAGTTATCCTTCTTTGTAACTTCTGGATTGCTGGATAATTTGACACATTAGGGTGTTCATGAGGTAGCTTTATTTCTGTTCCATTTCTAAATCTGGATATGTAGGAGTGTTGAAATGACATGCACAGCGATCCGTATATAGTTCTGTACTGTGTATTATTTCCACTGAAGAAATTAATAGGTTCATGTTGTGCCAAAATGTTAGACTCTAAGAAGTAAACACACAAATAGTAGAAAAATTATACCAATTTTGGAGACGGATGTTCCTTTTATGTGTGCTGGCTTCCTTTTTATCGCTAGTGTGCTCGTGCTGTACATTGAAATGATTTCATAAATGACTTCCAACTGTCCCCCATTAACATGAAGCAAATCCTTCATCCCTTTAAAAAAAAACTTAATTCCATGCAAACTACCACCATCTGAATGATTATGATTGTGCAGCTCAGAGGAACAGAATGCAGGATCCAAGGTTATTGTTTGTGCTAACAATGAATATGGCATCACTTTAAGCCTTCTGTGCTAATGTTTTGTCTTGGATTTTAGCATCCTGTAGCATGTTCCAGGCTATAGAGACTCAAACACAATAGAAAATGTTAGGCTCACAGGTGCCAAAAGCAACAGTTAATTACTGGAAGAAGGGAGGGGGGAGAAGAGAGAGAGACAGAGAGAAAGACTCCCTTCTTTAATAAGCTTCTGTATCAGGCAAAATTACACCTAATATCAGGTTCTGAGGGAAAGAAAGGCTCTAAATAAAAGATATTTATTTTCTACGTGATCCTCTCTCTCAAGCTTTTCAAAATTAGCCTCTGGTTTTTGTGCATGCGTGCATGTGTGGGTAGAGATCCAGAAAGAGAATGTGTCACATGGGGTGTGAGGATTGATTTTTTTTCTTTGTGACATTTCCCCCTACCCCCCAGAGCTGCTATTTTCCTCCCCAGATGCCACTGCCACTTGGGGGGAAGGAGTCAGTTCCCTCTCCCACACACACCACAGTCCTGATCAGGATCACATGCACACCGTGGTTGGTATTCATTCATTTTTTATAATAGAAAAGTCAAGAATGGCATGGCAAGCATATTACACCCACACCCAGTAGAAAGAGGCAAGGTGCAGATACTGGAATTAGACCCACTGTTTTGTTAACGTTAACATTTTCTGTGCTGCCCAGTTAAGGGCAAGCCTCTCCCTTTCATGAATGGAAGCAGTGTATTCTTACCTGCTTCTGCTCTAGCAGTCCACATCTCTAGCTGTTGCCCTCCTGCTCACTACCCCTCAAGCCCCATAACTTTGAATGTGTGCTCCAGGTGACCTTGAAAGCTCCAAGCAATCTTCAGAGGGGTTCGTTTCGCTGCCCAGAGTCCTTTTGTAGTCTTGGCGATGCCTATCTGCTACCTACATTGGGATCCAAAGTGCATCTATCCGTAGAAACATACACATATTATCCTCCCTCCAAGAGGAGTACAATACTGTCCCTGACCCCATTCACCACTTCCAGGTGCAGGAGAAAGGGGTCAAAATAGTACATTCAGTGCTTTTCTTCTAAGAAAAAAGCACTGAGTAACGTTATTATATACCTTAAAGGGGAGCTGGTAAATGTATACCAGTTTTGGGTTGGGGAAGAACACTGCTCCCTCTGTACATATAATGCAGGAGTAAACTGTGGATAAAGAGTAAGTAACCCTGAATTGGGAATACGGGGCAAGCTGAGAAAGCTAGGCACCCATAAATGTGATCACTGCAAGTTCTCACTGGTATCGGTAACCAATGAAATGAATGCGAAAGAGGCTCAATGTGTGCATGTCTGCTTTTACGAGACACACAGTCATGTTTGCCCCACTTTAAGTTTCTATCATCGACATCTAGGGTAGCCCCGTGTAGAGCATACACCAGGGGTGGGGCACCCTTTCCACACCAAGGGCCACATTCTCTTCTGGGCAACCTTCCAAGGGCCATATGCCAGTGGTGGGTGGGGCCAGAGACAAATAAAGGTGGAGCAATGAATATGGATTGTTCCTTTGTACAATAGACTAGTTTTACATACACCTCTTTGGACCAGCAGGATATCCTCCCATCTCCCTGCCCTGCCTTCATTACATCACTACTTTTTCTCTTTCTTCTTTATGCTGATAAATTTAGCATTTCATAAACACAGCTTGCTTTGCAGAATTGTTGGCGGATGTCATTTATCTGTGCTTTATGGTAGACCATTTGTGCTCTCTGCAGGATTTATGCCACACTATGAAATCAGAAGGATCTGACTCTATGTATGTGCTGAGTGATGATAAATAGAAGTATGGTGCCAGTCTGAGAGTGATAAATATGGTCTGCTGCCTTCGATGGCTCTGGTTTGTGATCCACACCTGACTGTGCATAGAAATTTTCCATCATGGATAGAACAATTTATTTCTGTTCTAAGACATTTTCCTTCAGTATTCAAAGCAAAGACAACGGGTCTATTCTATATGACCAAAATGCCATTTGCTCAATATTTTATTAATCATAAAACCTTATATTAAATAATATAAACCTAGGAAACATCAAACATACAAAAAAATTGGCACAGGTCTCATAAGTTCCCATCACACTTATTTAGACTTTTCCCAACTTTAGCCCCCTGTGGCCTTCAATAAACACACACACACATATATATACACACATTACAAAGGATGAGAGAGGGACTTTTAGGAAATACTGTTGTGTTTATTGGGGGGGCATCCAGGTGAGGTCAAAGATGATAACTATGCTGTGGTCACCACAGAAACAGAAATACTGCATAAACAAAATAACAAAAACAAAACGGTCTGTTGCCAGTTGCACCAGAATCAGTCTGGCAATCCATTAGATGCACTGGTGACCATTTCCTGTTTTACTGAAATTGATGAATCTATTGTATTCAAGCCTAAATACCCTTGTGCCAGGGGATCAAGACTCCCAAATCTAATAATACGATTACAGGCTTCTTAACCCTGTGCTGGTGGAAGGGTCTCTATTAGGTAGGATGGGTAGGCCCTTAATAAATTCATCAGAAGCACCTTTTTCTGAATGGCTATTAAAGAATAGAATGGGCTTAGAATCTAGGTATGTATGCCAAAGGAACAATGTGACCTGTGTGAATGGTAAGTTATTTTAAGTAACCACAAGACATCTTCTGAAAATACGCCAGGTTTATTTTATTTTATTTTTAGACTGCCTAATCATGAATATACCCAACAGCAAGTGTTTGAACCTTGCTATATATAGATAGATATAGGTATATTATTTACACATGCACACACAATCCAAAATATTACAATCTTGTCAGAAGAATGACTGGTAGTATCTACCAAAAATGAAGGCAGAATTCTCTATGGGAGAATGAGATTCAATAATGCTGATGTCACTCAGTTCTCAGTATAGTACCAAAAATAACTGGAAACTGATCTTGTGCCAAATTGGCTTGAAGAGGCACAAGAGAAAGGACAATAGAGTCTTTGGGGGGGTGGTGTAATATGATATGTCATAGCTAGTCTAGTCCCTTGACACCGAGAACCTCTAATACTGGTTTCTGTGGGAGAATAACATTGGCTCAACCTACTTTGGCAACATTTGTGTTCCAAGAAAGTGTGACTCTCCAAGCATAAAGCAATGAAATATTTCAATAAATGAATAAAAAGATCCATGTGAGGTGTTTAAGACTAACGTTACCCAATACAGTGGTACCTCTGATTACAAGCTTAATTCGTTCCAGAGGTCCGTTCTTAACCTGAAACCGTTCTTAACCTGAGGTACCACTTTAGCTAATGGGGCCTCCCGCTGCTGCCATGCCACCGCCACACGATTTCTGTTCTCATCCTGAGGTAAAGTTCTTAACCTGAGGTACAACTTCTGGGTTAGCGGAGTCTGTAACCTGAAGTGTTCATAACCCAAGGTGTTTGTAACCCGAGGTACCACTGTATGGGTCTGATGCCAGCAACGGTGGGTTGCAATTCACACAGAATGGCCTTAAATTCTTCAGTAATATTGGGTGTTATAGCAGGATCCAAGCAGGATTGCATTGTTGCAGTATTCGCTTATGTAACAGATTTCAATGGTGCAGGTGAGGTCTAACATGGCTGTTCGTAATAATATATAAAATAAACGATTTATAACTATATAAAACAGCTTTAAAAGGCACACATTCACAATCATATCAATACAGTTGATTATAAATAAACAACTCATCTACAGCTATTTATCATGCCTTGAAAGGCTCTCAGATCAACCATGTCACTCACTTCTTTGATGCAAATGCATTGAAATTAGCATGGACAAGAAGGAGGTCATGGCTGAGGAGTGCCAGGGGCAGAGCAGGCCAGGCCAAAAGACGAAAGGCCACCTCAAATTGCCTATCCAAGCAATTCTCCTACCACATCATGTTTAACATACACCCCTGTTAACAAATCACTTTCCTAAACGATGGAATTTCTACAGATGTGCTTTTCTCCTGTGGACCATCTGAGGATGGGGGAGCTATCCAATTCAGTTCTGTTTAAATGTGAACCTGCCTAATTCACACTTTTCATGAAGCGGAAAACAGTCATCCTTCAAAATTCACACTTCTCCAAATTTTGCAATGCGGTTCTCCAACCAAATTTACAAAAAATGCATATAATAAGGTGTGCATAAATGCATTCATTGTCGAAAATAACACATGAAAATGCATTATATTAGGGGAAATGTCACTGCAAAAATGTGCTTATTAGTCAAAACTGTAAGCCAATGTACATAAGAGAAGGTATCACTGAAATGCTGATGAAGTTTCATGAGGGTTTTTTTTTTAATTAAAAAAATGCAAACTGATGTGGGAACATGGAGAATTGAATTTAAGATGAGAAAAATGAGAAACCAAGAGAAACCAAAACTGGTATGATCTCCCAACCCTGCCACAGTATATACAATTCATTTGTCTTTCTGCAGTTGTTTTATTGTTGATTTTCTGCTCTTCACCACTATGTCTATCCCCCCTTAATCTTGGTGGTATAGAAATTCTTGCAAACAAGTATAATACAATATAATATTTTAATATCAGTGTCAGCTGCCAACACAACAGATGGTTTCGTGTTTTGAAGAGTAAGGGAAGCATAATAACTTGCCTATTTGCCATCCTCCGCTTGTTGTTGCTGCTCCACATGATTTCAGTGTCCAATAAGTAATTATATCCTGAACTTTCATTTATTTATTCATTGGGAGGGGGGAGCATCTCTATTAATATCTCTATTAATTCAAAACAAAGACACTGAAACAACATAAGTAACACATCTGCCTTCAGATATTGAAAATGTGTTATTTGGTATAAAATATTTAGTTGGAAGATATCCAGGTGTTTTTTGGATCCAATAACCATGGTACTTTGGGAGCCAATAAGTATAACATCTTCTAATGTTTGCCACTAGTGTTTTGACGATCCCAAGATTGATAAATGCTTGAAAATAAGCCCTGTTGAAATCAGTACCGCTCAGCATTCAAAGCACACAACTTGCTTTATAGGGCTGTGGGTTTTTTATGTATGTCAGTTTTCGGTGGTTTATATAAGAGCATTTGTGCTCTCTGCAGGGCTCCACTCTCTGAAATAAGAAACATTTTACTTTGTGTAAACTTCAAAAATTGATGAATAGATGTATGCTGCCAGTCAGGAGAGTGATAAATATGATAAGCTGGCAACAGCTTGGCTTGGTTTGCCACACCTGGTCTTTTAATGGAAACCCTACTGATTTGAATGCTGCTTGTGTTAAATCGGGGCTGGGAAGATGGTCTCCCTGGAAGGAAAGAAACAAAACAACTTTGGTTTGAAAAGGCTAACAAACAAAGGCTATATATGATGAGTCACAAGATAGCACATGCTGGTGTTGTTTAAGCAGCATCCTGTGTAAGGCAGATGTGGTAGGAACATTCTCCTGTGAGATATATCACTGAACCTGTGTTCCCCCAGATGTCGGACTACAACTCCCATGACCCCTTAGAAAACCTTCAAGGTTATAGCTAACAGTTGTTCTGCCTCAGGGGTGGGGGGCTGTTAATGTGCGGCACCTTATACATCTTGTCTATGTTTGCACAGAATGTTAAAACTACTACTATCCAGAAAACACGAATGATTATAACTGCCATTTTAATGCACGACACTGCAAATGTACACCAGTGGAGGCTCAGCAAAGAACCACTGTATGTATCCATTTTATCTTGAAAAAAATAAAGCACTTCTGCATTTCAGAAGCCTCTAGGCCCAACACATCCCTGATGACAGCAGATGCCCTTTTTCATGGGCTGTGTTAAGCTCTGTTCACTTACACCTGCTTATCGTGCAATTTGTTTAAGAAACAATATCACTCTCGCTTGGCGTTTCCATCCTCAATTTGCGGCTCCTGTGACAGATGCTTGGCAACACTTTTAGTGCCAGTCGCAGCATTTATTTGTTGACAAACTCTTAAAAAGAGATTTACTATTATTGGCCTGTGATTTCCCCTCTGGTTCCTTGGCTATGGGGAATAATTTTGCACTCTGTCAGCATGGAGGACACTTGGGGATACAGTGCAGGCCTATAAACAGGAAATAAGGCTCTGAGGGAAGAGTGGAAGAGGAACATATCTTTGGGGAATTCAGTCAAGGCAATTCAGCTACTTTCCTGACCAAACAGGAATTCCTCTGCTGGGAATGTTGTTGTTTGTGTGAACTGTGTTTAGTTAAGAGTGCTGAGAGTTGATAGGCGACCGCTATTCACCTAACAGAGCTACAATTCTCAGAGTGGTTTAACAATTCTGCCTTCACAGGGAATTCCGGGAATGGTAGCTCTGTGAAGGCAACAGAAGTCTCCAAATAACTCTCAGCATCCTCTCCCCACTCTCAGCTGTGATGGCATAATGGTGGTATGATATTGCTTTAAATGTGTAGTACAGATGG